CTGACGCAACGACGTTTTCCAGTCTTATCATCAGCTTAACCTAATCGTCGACATGATCCTCTCACAGCTCCCTTATAAGAAACGGCTTCGACATCGGCGCTGACATCCTATCTAGCCATCATGGGTCCTGAGGAATGTAAAGGTGCAGGAGAGACAGCCGCGGGGCCGGGCAATACGGACATTTATGTCCAATTGGTCATCTCTTTGATCCTAGGCACCTCGGCCTTCCTCGCCTTCTGCGTGAGTCTTGACCACTTGGCCTCAGTCTGACTCAGTTATTCTCATACTAATCCTGATATCGTGAATAAGATCTTGAGACCTCGATGGAAAACCCTTTATGCCGCCCGAAAACGACACAGTGACCCTAAGATCGCCTTGCCTGCGCTGCCTGACAGCTTCTTAGGATGGATACCGGCTTTGTACAGGGTCACCGAGGACCAAGTGTTAGCATCTGCGGGTTTAGATGCCTTTGTGGTATGCAATATGGCCCTATATCGTATCAAATATAAAGTTGCTGATAATTGTCTCTCCAGTTCCTATCGTTCTTCAAGATGTCCTTCCGCTTATTCGCAACAATATTCTTCTTTGCCCTGGTCGTCCTATGGCCTATCCACAAGACTTTCGAACCCGATAAGAAACTACCGCCGGGTGTATTTCCGAACAGTACTTACTCTCTGGAGTTGACGCGGGACTACCCTCCTAATTCCTTTACTGCCTTCGACGACCATGGCTCGGATGACTTGGACTGGGGCTGGAACTACCTATCGGCGTACTTCGTTTTCACATGGTTCTTCTCGTTCCTAACGATATACTTCATGAATTCAGAAACTATAAGAGTAGTTAAAATCAGGCAAGATTACTTGGGAACTCAGTCAACTGTGACGGACCGGACATTCCGGTTGACGGGAATTCCTCGAGACATTAGATCTGAGGAGAAAATCAAAGAGTTTGTGGAGAATCTCGAAATCGGACATGTTAGGAGGGTGACGCTCTGTCGAGACTGGGCTGAGGTTGACAAACTTATGGCTGAGCGACAAGTCATTATACGGAAACTCGAAGAAGCGTGGAGCGTTTACATCGCTCAAAGGCCGCCGGCACCGCCGGCATCTAATGGTCAGGAACACGATGAGGCTAGCGAGGGTCCTCAAGAGAACGGAAATGACGACGAAGAGGCCCAGGAGACTGGTCGCCTTCTCGCGGGCGACAGTCTACGAAATCTCGTTTCCGAAAGGCAACGTCCCAAAGTACGACTTCGGTTTGGTTTTCTTAAGTTGCGAAACCGCAAGACTGATGCAATCGATTATTACGAGGAAAAGCTGCGTCTGCTGGATGAGAAGATCCATACGTCAAGAAAGAAACAGTATCCACCAACCGAGACGGCATTCGTGACGATGAACTCCATTGCGGCATGTCAGATGGCGATCCAGGCCACAGTGGATCCGAGACCCGGCCAGCTTCTGACCAAGCCCGCGCCAGCTCCAACCGATGTGGTATGGAAAAACACATACGCTTCGCGATATAAGCGTCAAATGCAGTCCTGGACCGTCACCATCTTCATCACGTTTCTGTCACTTATATGGCTTGCACCAGTGGCAGTGCTGGCCCAGTTATTGAGTATCTGCAGCATTCAGAAGATAGCGCCGTCCTTTGCTGAATTACTTACCCGTCAAGAGATCGTCAAGGCACTTGTGCAGACTGGTTTGCCCACGCTGGTAGTCTCGTTATTAAACGTCTTGGTGCCATACCTTTATGACTACCTTTCCAATACTCAGGGAATGGTATCACAAGGCGAAGTGGAGCTTTCCACAATATCGAAGAATTTCTTCTTCATATTCTTCAACATTTTCGTCGTCTACGCAGTCTCTGGTAGTGCTGCTCTGTCTGATTTCTGGGAAATCCTCAGGAATTCCCTGACCGACACTAGAACAATCGCAAAGAAACTGGCTAGCTCAATACAAGACCTGAACAACTTCTATCTCAACTTCATCATGCTCCAAGCCTTCGGCTTGTTCCCATTCAAGCTTCTGCAATTTGGGAGCATATCTCTTTACTCCATATATCGCATGGGGGCCAAGACACCGCGAGACTTCGCTGAGCTTATTCAACCCACTCTATTCAACTACGGATTTTACCTCCCGACGGCGCTACTAGTCTTCATCCTGTGCTTAGTCTATAGCATCTTGCCTGGTGCACATATTGTCTTGCTCCTTGGACTTTGCTATTTCGCACTCGGATACTTTGTATACAAGTATCAATTACTGTACTCGATGGATCAACCTCAACATGCCACCGGTGGTGCATGGTCGATGATTTGCGGACGCATCATTGTTGGTCTCGTCGCATTTCAAGTCATCATGATAGCATTCCTGGTACTACGCTCGGCCTTCCGGTCCGCCGCTTTCATCGTGCCCCTCCTGGTTCTCACTTTCTGGTACCATTTCTACTCGCGGCGACGCTATACACCTCTCCTCAGGTTTATAGCGCTTCGGAGCATTAACCGAGGCTCTGATCCCGGCTCGGAGAGCCGCCCCGATGAGGACCTGCAACAAGTAGCCCAGCAAACTCGCCTTACAAGACGCATGAGCACAATCGACGAGGATAGGGAGAAGGGAATGAGGTTTGTGAACCCGAGTCTTGTCGCTCCTCTGGAGCGGCCATGGATTTATCAAGATCCGCCACCTCCACTCTCACCTACGGAGTCTACCAATTCTAGGGCGGGAAGCCCCAGTAGCAATGAGGGCAGCGTCGCGACGTTACCTCGTGCCAATAACAACATCGTTGGCAGCGTTTCAAGCTCGTTTAGTCTAGGAGATACGCACATATGGCGGGATAGTGGTGATAACAATGTTTAGTGAGTAACGAAGGACATAGACTGTTTTGAATGCATAGCACTACAATTATACCCCTGAAAGGTTATGGCATATCTTGAATGCTTCATTACTAGTGTTGTTAGCCACTAGGACGTGTCAGTGAAGTATTCAGGATGATGATTTCTTTTGGTCTGATGCTTTCGAGGTATAAGTAGGCATTTGGTTTCCCACTAGCGACTCTCTTATAGTTTTATATAGATACCAAGGTACCGGTTTGGCTTTGCGTTCGAGTGGGGGACGTAGGTTACAGCGTATAGGATAGAAGCATAAATCTACATGCTTCTGGGCATATCTACTCCTGATCTTATGTGTTATTGATTACGGCCACATGCCGTCGAACATAAATAACCAGTCGTCCCAATACCGCTCATACCGTCCAACAAGCCAACTCCTCCCATCACCAGGCCCGCCAACTTTCCATGGCCGTGTGTATAGTCCCTCTTTCTGAAGATGTCTCTTCAAAGCAACGTTAATGCTGAAGCTACTTGGGCTTACACCAACGAAATAATCGGCATTTAGTAGCACGATGAAATCTACAAGGGCTTGCTGGTCCCAACTCATTGCCTTAAGCTCCCGGAGATTGCGCCCTTCGAGTAAGTCATATTTCGTCTTCACATCGAGTTGCAGACGGGCCATCGCCTGGTTACCGAACTTCTGCGATTCGGTCTCACTTCCGGAGGCCAGATACGCCATCCCTCCTCGATATCCTTGCTTCTCAGCCTCCAGAAGATAGCCCGTACTCTGGTTCTCGTAACTCGGCCACTGCTTCAGGGCATCTTTCTCCGTGCGCAGGTGAATCCCCAAGAACGGGCCACTCGCACTACCAGAACCCGGACCCTTAGTCGAAGCAGCAGCAGCAGCAAGCTTCCTCATCTCAGCCACAACCACATCCGCCAGGTCCAGTATATCCTCGCGGATCCTCAACAACCCGCCAAACGTGGCCGCGAACTCCGGCCCGTCGCGGTACACCTCCCAATCCCACAGCACGCCCCAGGACAGCCTCACGAGCTTGGGGTTCTCCGCGCTCGCGGGCGCAACGCCCAGCTCCTTCGGCACGCGCTCCACCCACGCGCGGAACGCGGCCCCGAACCGGTCCGTATGGCGGTTCTGATCGCGGGGATCACAGCCGGCGCGGCTGCCGAACTTCTTCGGCACTACGCGCTCGATGATGCCATCCACGGGCCTGCCCTCCCGGCGTGCCTTCGCACTCACGCCCGGCACGTCTTGTAGCGCATCGTACACGCGCATGCGCGGACACGCGGCGCCCAGCGCGCCCCGGAAGTGCGCCGCGTCAAACATGTACCCGAAGGCCTGGTACTTGGCGAACAGACTCGCCGGGTCGTCGGGCGCGCGGGCGCGGATGCGCGGGAGGAGAAGCGAGGTCGCGCCCGCGGAGATCCCGTACCGGATGCACGTCAGCATGTAGTTCCGGATGTTGCCCGGCCCGCCGCTGTTGTTGTCGCAGATGAAGACCAGCCCGGGCACCCAGGTCGTCTCCGCGCACACGCGCTGCAGCGGCCAGGCGATGAAGGGCGCGCGCGCGTTGGAGAGGTCGATGTGCGGGGTTGGTGCATCTTGCGCTGATAGTTGGACGGTGCCTGGGGGTGGTGGTGGTAATGGTGAGGAGAAGGAGGCCGAATTGCGGCGCGCGCTGTGGTGGTGCCAGGTGAGGAGTAGCAAGATGGTGGTGCATGCGAGGAGGAGGGCCATGCGCTGGCGTCCTAGTAGGTAATGCACCGCCATTGCTGGATGTGGCTTATTTATCTTGGTCTATCTCTGCTTCTGCCGTCTCCATGCGACGTCGACACTAAATGCATCGCGTCGGGTGTTTGAGCGAAGATATGTGTCTGGGGCTTCAAAATTGGCATTACGTTGCAGCTTTGCTCTATTGTGTTAAACTGCTGATCGCTTAAGATTCTCAACATGGAAACGAGCGGGAGAGCCATTCGGTTTACAAGTCCGATAATTACTATTTTTGGTTGCGGAATGCTGACGCCGAAATCTGATTTTGGGATACCGGGCCGGATGGGTACAAGTTTCTCTTTGCTGTCTTCGCTCTGTACGCCGTCGGCTTTGGGTTATAAAGTGTGACTAGAATCCAAATTCCACATCGGTTCTAGAACCAGCCAAGGGGGGCTGGCGCAATTGGTAGCGTGTGAGATTCCAGAAATGGAGTATCCTCAAGGTTGGGTGTTCAAATCACCCGTCCCTCATATTTTTGCGTCGGCGCTAAGTCATTATTGTATTTTTATCTAATCGTACAACGTCTACCTCAAATGCATCCACTCATTGTCTGTTGGCTGAGTTGTGCAAGGAAGTTGGTTACGTTATAAGACGGAATGAATATGCCAATTGTTCGTTGTAATAGAGTCGCACAAGAGAATAACGGTTGCCACTGCTCTGGTGCATCTCCTGGCTATGCTTTCTCACGCGTAATTGCAGTAATTTCCAAGTAGATTGCCTGTAAGCGACTTTTTGGATCTTAACTTGAGGACGCTATTCACCGTTTTTAACTCTTAATTAAAAATTGACCTTGTGTACCTTTACAATTGCTTAGAGTTTGACAGAAGAATTCATGTTTTGGGGGAAACCCTGGACAGGTTAGGAACCCCCTCAATGAGACTCTTGCAGCCTCCACTTTGTTGAATTTCTGTAAGTAAGCTCACCTCAAAATACAATTGACCGTGAGCATTGCCATGGATGATGGGATATATATATATATATATTGGTCACAGAGCCATGCTTCTTATCATTCAAGGTACTTTATTCCTCCTGGGTTTGAAACCGTAGTTTCAACAAGTTGTGTTCCCAAAGTAGAGATGCCAAAGCAACCCTAGTAATAGGGGGACTTTGAACCAGGGTTTGTTTATATGTATTCAAATCATCACATATAATCGCTTCCTGCTAACAGCAGTCTTTTGATATAATACTGTGCATACATATGTGTACTGGTTAGTCTAAAACTATCATGAATGGCTCTCTCACTCTCCTATTTGATGAATTTGGGTACCACTGAGTCCCCTAGACCCACTTAATCTCCCAAGTACTGAGCCTCCTGCTGTTGTTTTTGCAATTAGTTATCGCACCTCATCAGACATCAGGATCTTGGGCAGGTAGTGGGATAGGTATAATGGAAATTTTGATGTCAGTTCATGACCCAACACGGCAGGATGATAAGAAAATGTCTGCGGACGTAATAATGACCAAAGCTTAGAAAGGGGTAGCAACACAAGACACATGGTACATAATTGGGCATTGAAATCGTCACGATGGTCAGCTTATATACGGCAGAACTACTGTCAAACTATTCGAAAGGTAAAAATTCGTTAATCTAATAATCAATCTAAAGTTAAATCATACAAGATCGGGGAGAGGGAGAGAGAAGAGGGGGAGCATACGTATAGCGAGACAAGGGGACACCTCACAGGGGGCTTCAGGCTAGATATGAAGAGTAGTGGCTAAAAGGCCTGTATTCAAATGAGCTCATGTAGCGAATACCAATAGCGCTGTTATGATCGAACTTAACTGGCTCTATATACTCGGCCACAGCTTGTTCCTCTAGAACGAAGCTATCGACTGTGTGTGCATATGCGATGGACCATGACTGTCACGGCACAGGCCTGTGGGGTGCCCTACAGCTCCCTACAGCTCCCTGTAGCTGCAGCATACCCCACTACCTCTCACACGTGACCTGCTTAGTCAGATAGCTTAGGTAATCAGGTGAGGAGGTTTTCTCAGGTCAGGCTGTCACACAGCAATTAGCTGACCTTTTACTCCTCACCTTATAATTTTACAGTAATACACACCTATTACTCAGATGCGCCACCTCCTTCCTTGAGCCGTCACAATGACTGCATGGTGAGCTGAACTAGAGGTTGTGTGTGGGAGGGGAGCTGAAATTGTTAGGCCTGCAGCCGTACACACTCTGTGGCGTAGCCACAGGTGTGGCTGAGGAGGTGGCTGCGCCACCTCTCTCCTCCTATAGCTATAGCCTCACTCATACACACTTAGCTTAGACCATCATCAATCATACACATTCAGACCTCACAGAAATCCTTTGGGATTTAAGTGGGACACGACTTGAGAGGCCAGATGCCCTAACAATACGCAAAATAAATGAAATCGAATCAGCTCAATACAATTCAAATAATCAATTCAATTGTTGAAAGCATTGATCCTGATAGAAATCAAGAGCTTCGATTACCGCAAGGCCAAGGACTTGAGCGAATTCGCGAGACAATCAATAGGTACTAACATCACCCCTGAAGGATGTGGCCCCGCCACCGACAACCCACATTTAGCAACCTGGGGTTTATTAGGGCTAGAGCTGCGGCTGAGTATATAGAGCGAGTTAGCTTCAATTCCTAACAGCGTTATTGGCTTTCGCTCGATTCGCTCATTTGCCGGAGGCCATCGTGGATAAACTCTGACCCGTTGGACGGACTTTGCGCCGTTGGTTTACAAGTTTATCCGCTCTTTGTGTTCCCCCAAATCCGAGCTCATACGGGGCACCTCCGTTCAAAGACGGAGGTGCATCTTATATCCGACCTGACTTCGGCTGGGCCGATGGGCGACGGGCGACGGCCCATTTTCTAACCGTCGCCTAACCGTCGCAGTAAACCACGAGAAAATGGCACCGCTAGTCTTATTTTTGCTCCCTTGTTGTTATCTCCATGAGTGTTCAAAACCGGCTTTCATTGCTCAATCAAGACGCGAAGGACCATTCTATTAATATTACATCGCCAGTAGTCCAGATTGATATTAGTTTCACTCAGCCAGTACCTTTACGTATGACACGTCAGCAGGTTGCTTAATAGGTAGAAGCCTCAGCTCCAAACTTTTCTATATAGCCTAGGACCAGGAGCACGTTTTCTTCCAAACAAAGGCATACCAACTACCTTAGAAAGATACAGAGCCGTCATCCTATTCAAAACATCTTAACCTTGTCAAATCCTACCCAACAATGACTGCCATCCGCAAAGTTGTCATCGCCGAGTTTGGTGATGTCGACGTCCTTAAAGTTGTCGACGATGTCTGCCCACCTCCGCCGCCAGGTCACATACAAATTGCGACCGAGTACTCAGGCTTTAACGGCGCCGACGTAAATATGCGAAAGGGGCTGTACCCCTTCCAGAAAAAGGCACCCCTCACCCCGGGCTACTGCCTAGTAGGCACCGTCCGCGCTAACGGTGAGGGTTGTAACGCTTTTAAGCTTGGCGACGTCGTCGCGGTCCTGACCAAGTACGATGCCGAGGCCGAGCTGGTCAACCAACCCGAAAAGTACTGTATCAAAGTACCCGACGGCGTCGACCACCAGCAAGCAACGGCACTACTGTGCGACTGGAATACGGCGTACGGGATGGTCATGCGCTCGGCAAAGGTTACCAAGGGCCAGAGAGTCTTTGTCCACGGCATCAGTGGCGCGGTTGGCGCCGCTATCATGATCCTGAGCCAGCTGCAGGGAGCCGACGTATACGGCACGGCCAGTCAGCGCAACCACGACGACATACGCGAGTACGGCGCGAGGCCGTTCGTATACACGGACAAGAACTGGATAGAGACCATGAACTCGCTCGGCGGCGCACATGCCGTCTTCGACCCGCTCGGGTTCGAGAGCTTCGACGAAAGCTACTCCATCCTGGCCCCGGGCGGTATCCTCGTGGCCTATGGCAACAACAAGGACTCGCTCGAGAACGGGGCGTCCAGAAATCCGGTGGGCCCGATAGTGAAGCTGCTCTCGCGAAATCTCAACCCCCTGACCTGCAAGAAGACTACCTTTTTCGGGCTGACGCGAGACTCGTCCACGTATGTGCCTAATGTCACAGCATTGCTGGATATGGTAAAGACGGGAACTATCAAGGTTCCGATCAAGAATGTGTGGGATATGGAGGATATTCAGACTGCGCATAGGCAATGGGGTGGTGGGACTGGTATCGGGTCGCTCCTGATCAAGGTTGCTAAGGATTAGTCGGTTATATTCATCCACTGGTTTTATTTGTCCCTGGAGCGCTCATGTGTGTTGGTACCAATTCCGTAAATATTATCGTCCTGTGGTGGAGATGTTAGCTCAGCGAGAACTTTTATATACAGTTGATTTTCCATATACCAGTAAATGACGTGAACTCTTGGCCCCCTTTCATTGCCCCATGTCCACAAAATAGCAAGTCACAGAAGTCCCCCATATAAAGCTATGCCATTCATCATCAGATTCTGACAGCATTTATGTAACAGTAAGTAATGACGTTGCAGAAAGTCCCAAGGAAAATACGAAGAATTCATCAGACTGTCAGTTTGGGAAGCCTGGCCTCGTGTTTGACACATATTGGCTTGATGGTTTTATGACGAAACCCTACTTATCAACGTGATGATTGATGTAGAAGTCAAGATATTTAATCATATTACCCAAGATCTTTCATTGTACGATCGAAGTGCCGATCAAGCTATACTTTGTAAAAGCAGCCCGCTCTACTTATTACATAGTCCTAAAGTTCAGTACCGTATATATTGTAAACGTACGCAAGAGACTGATCTGCAGGTTTCTCCAAAGTAGCTTCGAGGCTGCTGTACTCTGACATCCATGTGTAACCCCGTTTTTGGCCACCTCCTAGTAGTAGCGTAGTTATATCGGTACTCTAAAGCATAGTTCCAAATGGCCTGTACAATTTATTGTTTAGAGTTACTACTGGCCAGAGGCGTTCTTCATGCTACTATATATGCGGCATTTCTTGGAAACTGTTTTCGCCGATGAGCTAGTTGTGCACTGGGCTTCAAGCTACTGCATTAGACGCTTAATATGATGACGACCCAGCGTTTATGTTTCTAGTATGCTAGATATAATAGAAACATCAAAGTTTTCTATAAAGAATAGGGGACAATAACAATCCTGATGTTCTTCTTTTAGGTATATACGGGATTATGGTTGACTACATTACGTACTTAAGTATCCATGAAGTTGGATGTCTTTGGTGGAGACGCCGACTGAAAAGGGGGTTTCACAGATGGCTACCTTCTCAAGACATTAGACCAGCCATCTGATAGATAAATCAAGTAAGCGGTGTTGATACCACGAGAAATTAATAGAGACAGCACCTAATATCGGCGATTCAATATTATATTGCGTCACCAGCTGTAACCCAATGCTCGAGAAGCAGGAATGAAGGATAGGAGAAATTGGAAGACTAGGCCACAGGCATCCCAAATGCGTTACTAGTAA